AATTGATCTGAAAATTACTTTTATTTAGGAAAAGGCAGCATAATAAAAACATACTCAGTATTAACCTAACCTGGAATCACACCACTTAAAATGAAAATTTTGAGATCCCATCATCAATAACACTGAATCAAGCTAGTTCCTGGTAACTTCTGCTACAGTATATTACAAAAGAATTGGGAATAATTATGAAATACTATATAATAATGCAAGTGAATACAGTGATTTACAAAGAATTCAATTGAATAATACTCCAAGCTCTCAGAAAACAGACACTGATACAGTTCAGAGCCTCCTAAAAATTTCACCACTATTACTTAACATTTACGGCATAGTAGTGCCTAGAGATGTTGGTCAAGTTGGGCCCCCACTGTGCTAGACAACTGTACAAACACAGAAAATGACAATCTTTGCTCCAAACAGCTCCTAGTAGAAAACCCCAAGTGTTTAAGACTCAAAGCCCACAGACAGGAAAACCTCAGCCCATTCAGATATGCCTTCCCTTTACAACTCAAAGCTGCAGAGTAGCGCTTCGCCCTGTTACAATAAATATATCCCGATCGTTAAAACTTTGCCTGACAAAGAAAGGAATAAATGGCAACCAGGCTACTTTCCAACAGATGAGCGGTGGATGTGCTGCCACAAAGCAGGCCAAAGCTCCTTGGGTCTCCGTCAATTCCAGCATGACACACGTCATGGGGGCTTCTGTATGGCGTATAATCCGAGCACGCTGGCTGGCGCTCGCCACGCTACATCTGGACTTTGTTAGACAACCTTCAGCTCTGTTTTCCTGCATCAGCCCCGGCCCCCTCTGGTGAAGCAGCCTCCCAACCACTGCTTCTCCAAGAACTACTCACGAAGACAAAGTACTCTGGCAGGAAGTAAATTGGGACCACATTAGCTGGTGACCCTCACCCTGCAATTGGCCTGCCTTTCCGATGATAGAGGAAATCCCTCATACAAACTGACAACCAATATGAAACAGGCAGCTCCATTTACTGGAAAGCCTGGTCAATGCCGAGTGCCTCATTAGGAAATGGTCTCTATATTGAGGCACATTCCTGCAATTCAGAGCCTAGAAACTCTAAATTAAAACAACATTGATGCCATATCCTCTTTCCGAAATGCCTCTGTTCATCCAAACTTTAATACACATACTTAAAGAAATTAAAGAACCAAAATGCCTTTGGCAGGACTCCTTCCCTCTCTTTTGCAGTAATACCCTTCCTGTGCAAGCAACCAGGAATGTGACACAGTGTTGGGAAGGGACAAAGGAGACTTAAAGCAAGGAATAACCGCAGAGTGCTCCAGAATCTGTACAACCTTTCCTTGATGAATCTATGTGTCTTCACCAATATTTTTAAATAAATAAAAATCACCTGAAATTGTGGGCCTGAAGAAGTTGGAATTTTTTTTTTCAAGAAGTAAATTGAGGCTCATCAGTAGAATGAGTTTTTGTTTTGGGAGAGAGTTGTATCTTTCTACTTTCTAAGAAAGGTCAATTAACAGTAAGTCAGTCTGCTAACAGTTGTAGCCATTGTAGCAGCTCAATGATAACCAGCACAAGCAATGAAAAGGCATAATCTGAATCCTATCATACACAATTGGATCCATTCACACTCACTATTGCAGTGTAGCAGAAAACTGCTTTTCTAAAGTGTTATCTCTGTCAGTGGCTCTTTCCAGTTTGCAGCGAGATTCAGTACTCAGGCCTACGACACCTACCGCAGTATGCATAACTCTTCACACAAATCACCCCCTTCCGCTATTGCTCAGCATTTCTATTTGCATCCTATGTACATGGAAACGGGAATCTTTTAGTCAACTGTGCCTGCCAGCCAACTGAAAGAGCTGCTTTCCCACCACAGAGTCTAAGCATTTCCTAGAAATGGGATGGACTGAAATACCAAATACTTATCAGGGAGCTCAACAGCTCTGGAACAATGTTAAAGGCAGACGGAAGAAATTACTGAGGTTAGGATCCCAGCTCTGAATCTGAGGGGTTGAATAAACTTTTTAGGCTCCAGAATTGCTTTTCAAAGTCTTCCAGAAGATCTTGATTAACTAGCATCACTTGCCTTTCTTGAACAGCTGTGTTCAATACATCTGCAAGTCTGAAAGATTTTTCATTCACAATTTCTACTGTAAATTCAGGAATTACAGCTAAACTTTTAGGAAGTTTCTGAAATGCTATATAGTCCTGTGGAGCTGGCAAACACAGACGGACCTTTGTTCTCAAGATGTAGAAAAGGCTCCATGTAGAGAAAGCTTAAACTGATGAAGCAGCACAGTTGTTTTGTTGGAAAATATGAGGCTGGTGACCTGTAATAACTGAAGAGGACCACAAGGGCCAAGTACACAGATTATTTGCAAAGCATGTGGAAAAATGAGATTCCCTTTGACTACATCAGTAACGAGGATCCCGTAAAAATCTCATAGCCTTCTCTTCTGACCCATCTCCTATTTCTGGAGCTGTCAAAGTCAGTATGATTCGAATTGATGCAGAAGAAGTACATACCAAAACTATTGGTACTGAAAAAACAAATGCAATGTCAGATCCCCTGCAGCTTATAGAAGTGGTGAGTATTACTGTCACATGATAAGTAACTTTGTGGAGCTTTTCTTTCAATGTGTTGAAAGATGCACACAAAAAAAGGATAAAGATGATAAATCCTTAAGATGTAAGATGGATTTTAGGGAGGATGTGTCAAATCTCAATTAGATCAAATAAATATTTCTCAGGTATGGTTTAAATATAGTTTAGATTGTTCATATAAAAACATATATTCTGCCTTGGGGATTGGGGATGCACTGGAGAATACCTTGCAGCCCCATTATCTGAGATTTTATATTTATACTATTTATATATAGCTTGTATTTATACTACTCATAGCACAGATGTGTCGAGGAGATTACTTTCTGCTTTCTTAATTTTTTTTTTAGATCAATCTTAAA